TTGCAGATTCAGAACATTTACACTTTCAATGGAAAAGGTGATTTATGCACGCGTCTAATTCTTCATCCTGGCCGAGCTATAATTTTGATAACTGTTTGTATAACAATTCACTGACTGTAAATCATCTATTTATTTTTTTAACTTCAGAGTTGTGGATGAAAATAAAGTTCAGCTTGACCTTGGTTTGAAGAAATTATTCCGGGTCTGTGGTGTGTGAAGTTTTTCTCTTTTTGATATAAATGTTCGGTTTTATTAGGAATTGTAACACGATCCAGGTGGTAACAAGGTTTATTAAATCCCCAAATTCTGTTTTGAATTCTTTGATGGGCGAACATCAATTTGACTTTCACAGTTATAGATTACACTGCAAAAAATATCAGTGTGTTTTCTCTTGCTTTGGTGAGACAATTTTGCAATGGAATAAAAAGGCTTATGTTTAAAATACAAAAAAACATTAAAACCGTCTATTGATCATAACATTTTTCTTAATTAGAATAGGCTTTTTTTCCCAAATAAAATCAAATATTATTCGATCAATTTTAGTGCAACGGCTACTTAGGACATTAAGGGCTGAACTGGCATAGACAGTCAAGAAAATTATAGTAATAACATTGTCAGGACTTGACAGTACTTGGTTAATCTGTAACTTTTTATGTGTTGTAAAGGCTTTTTTATATTACATTTATCTTACATATTGTTTTATTGAATAATTTAAATGATGAATTCCAATCACCATATAATATATATGTATGGGTATATATATACATATAAAAATATATACAAAAACTAACAAGTTACACTAAAATAGTCTGTTTCAATTTGTCAACTTCTCAGTTTATCTGATTGGCTTTTAATGCGTTTGATTTTTATTTTTACATCTAAGCTGAACTATGAACAAGGATGTCAAATTCAAATAATAATACCGTAATTGAACTTTATTGATCTCACACTGGAGTAATTTACCTCTGCATTTACCCATTCCCTTAGGGAGCAGTGGGCTGCTATTGTGCGGCGCTCGGGGAGCAGTGTGGGGTTAAGGGTCTTGCTCAGGGACCCAGAGTCTGTGGGAATGGGGCTTAAACTCAGGATTCCCAGCTCTATGGAACCATCACTCCCCTTTTTTCTGGTCTAAATGCAGGGATAATGAATGATGGCCCTCGACGGACTGATGAATGGATAAAAGGAAGTATACTGAACGTGTTCAGCAACCAATCTGATCAACTAATGATGGTTAAAACACCAAAGATGCAGTAAAGTTGTTCTAAGCTATTTATCTTTAAAAATGGTGTGTAAAATACGAGAGTAAACTACCAAAAACGGTCTGGATCTACTTAAGCTAAAGTTCTAAACCAAGAATGACAGACTTTAAACAGATATACAAGCATTTAAACTTCAGAGGGGTACAATTAACTTCATGCTTTATTTGCTGTGTGCTATCGACCCACTGACTGACCAACTGGATAACATTAGAAGAAGCCAACATATAATTCATTTGATAATCAAAAGTAAAACTAAATAAAATGAAGAGATTTATTAATCTTATTTTAATGTAGAAGTTGTTACAGGATGGATGTCATACATATAGATAAATGCATTTGTTCGATCTACAATGAAAAGAACAATTAAATATTACCTGGATTTCACAAAGGTAATAAAAATATAGACTGGAAATATAGCTGGAAATATGAAAAATGCTATAAAATATGAAAAATAATTAAAAACATACATGATGCAGCTGAAAATATATGTAAATATATTCTATAAAGAAATAATTTATAAACCTTCCGCAACCCAGATAATCATATTTAACCAAAGCTGCAGCCAAGCAAAGGTTAACAAAGTGTCTTGTATTAAAATTACTTTGGAAGGAAACCTCAAAACATGTAAGCATTTGGTCCCACCAGCATGTGTATTAGCACCTGGTTGCTTGTTAGCGCCTGCTGTTTTTGCTGGTGTTTTTAAACACATAAGAAATTAAATGTTCAGGAAACCCAGACTGCTTTAGTGTAGAGAATTCCCCTCCCACTGCCAGACCTGGTAGCCCAGTTTACCTCTGTTCTGAGAACAATGAGGAGTACCCAATGGTTAACAACGTTTTTGCATTTCTCAGCTGTTGCCAAGACTAAACAGCTGCATTGCTTTAGGTTATCAATGGGAAAAGTGGAAGCAGTGTGGGGGAACAGAGATTTTATATTGCTAATCTATGGGGGTCCTCAGGATGTTCCATGGAGCTCTTCCTTTGGTGGTGAATGTCTCACACTGCAAAAACAGTTTAAAAATTAGTAGAAATTTCTCTAAATAAGTATATTTACCTTCATTTGAGTTGTTAAATAAGAAGATCTGCTAATGAAAGTAGAGCATTTTTACACATTTAAATAAGATAATTAGATACATAAAAATGAGCTTGCAGCATGCATCAAAATCTAGATAAGACATTTGTTATTAAAATAAGTATTGTTGAATTGATAATAAAAAAAGATAAAAAGAAATGTGGCCAGTGGAACAAGAACATTTTGATTTTTGCAAAAGTTGCTAAACAGGAGGGAGATCAAAAGTTTATTTTATGTGCTACATTTCAGAAATGGGTTGCAGTTTCACACTTCAACAAAAGAGGGCAGCGCCTATTTAATTTACATTTCAATTATGACAAACGCAATAATGGTTTATTTTGTTTTTTACAGAAATACTATGTGGGTGTGTATATTTCTGGACATAGAGATGGAAAGAAAGCTGAGAAAGTCAGAGGGCATAAGAATTACAGGAAGAGAGAAACAGAGAGAGAAAGGGAGGGAGAAAATAAAGAGCAGGAAAAATGGTCCAGGAAATAAACGTAGACAGACTTTATAATCATTTTATATACAAAGAGTGTATACAAAAGAGGCATTAATTCACCTGAGGGCACTATGCCCCGACAACACCCAACCAGAGTTTAGCTTTAAACCCACCCCCCGCCTAAACGTTGCACTTGTACTGCAGAGATGTACTGACCATTTTATAAGGTTAGTACATTTTTGCAGTACAAAAGCAATAATCTAAATCCACTACTGTTTAGTCTTTATAATATTCACTTACGTATTTATATGGTCGGTACATTTCTGCAGTGCAAGAGCAATAACACAAGTCACCTACTATGTAGTATTTCATTAGCTCTCTACTGAACAGATATATTCCAGAACATTACAACTTCTTTCTTTTTTTTTCTGCTTTTTTGTACTCTTTTTAAATTGTCTGTTGTATTTTATCTTGAATGGCATCTTGCTTTAAACTCTTTGTACTCTATATAAGCTACTGGGACCAGAATTTCCCTGAAGGAGTAATACCAAGGGATCAATAAAGTTGAGTCTAAGTCTAAGTTTCAGGGGCCCCAGCCCAACATAAGACCAATCATAGCCACATCAAGAGGGAGTTAGGACTGCTGCAACTTTGTTCAGGGGATGAAGGAGCAGACACAGGTAGTATGTGTGAAACCAGGTTTAGACACATCACCCATTGAGTTTGAGCATGGCTGAGCTTCTTTCAGACCTAAATGGAAATGTGTTATTGAGCACTGCAAGCCTATCCTCAAACCAGTAGAAGGACTACAGTAAAATGTTGCCCTACTTTCAGATCACAGTATTGAAATATGAAAACTATGCCTACAACATTATGCAGACTTGAAGGAGGCTCCCTTCAAGTATACATGGGGCTAAAATGGGCCACAACTCTAAATAATTACGAATGGCCTTTGGCATGTCTGGTGAAATCTAAGCTATGCTGATGGTGCAGAATGAATGGAAATGTTTTTGGTGTTCACAGTTGGCGAATCTTTTTTTAAGGCTTTTTTTCTGGAATGCTTTAGTATAGCTCTGCGAATAGATTTACCAGATGATAGGTTAGCTGATAGCCCAACAGCTTTGCTTTCACAAGCAGACAATTATGACTGATGTCATAAGGTTCTTCTTAATACCTTTAGATTAAACTTTATTGAAAATTATTTAGGAAGCAAAATCATATACAATGGAGAAGAAAAGGGAGGCAAGAAAGAAAGACAGGAGAAGAACTAAGGGGAAGAGAGAGAGATTGGGTTCGAATCCGGCCTGTGGTCCTTTGCTGCATGTCTCTCCCCCTCTCTCCTACCCCCTTTCCTGTCAGCCTACTGTCCAATTAAATTAGCCACTAGTGCCATAAATCCCCCCCTCCAAAAAAAGAAAGTGTCCAGGTTCACACACAGGTAAAGTGTTCAGCAGAAAGCATGTATGAAGATCCTGCAGGAGGCTTTAGATTGTGGTTATGGAGACCTTCCATTTAGCACCTTTAATGCCCCCTGATTGAATCCAGACAAAGCCTGGCTCAGAACAACAGGCAAACAGCTCTCTCTTTCTCACTTCTGAGCTGCTCTTGTTCTGGATTTTTCCGTTGGCTCTCTGGCTTTGCTGCTTCAAGTGTCGCAACAAAACTGTCAGGATTCTTGGACAAACATTCAATACACAAGTATTTCCAGGTTGCTGTTTAACCTGCTGACTGCATGGCTTTGGTGGGATTTCAGCTCTGCTGACAGGAAAAGCCTCGTTTCACGGCTCGAAAGCAACTTTTTCCGTTTCTAGTTTCTATAGGAGGAATGAAGACAATGAGAAGGTGCTACACAGGTTCTGGATGAACACCTCCCAGGGTCTGACTGTGATGTCAGACTACTTTCACTGTAGCTGAGCTGATGTTTCAGTTATTTTGTTCTTTATGAAATAACCTCATAACAAGGAAATAAATAAAAAAAATGTGAACTATAGAAATCAAACAGTTGCTGAGAGATAAAACGTTTTTAGACGTGATATTTGCATGTAGATTATAGACAAGATGACAGCTGTGACTGTCCTGCCTCCTGCTAGCTGGTGCTTCTACCCTGCAGCTCATCATTGGTGAAGGTAAAACGCAGCATTTCTTGTTCTGTGGTTTCTATCTGCTAGTGGGTGTTTCCATCCCCATTCTCATGCATTTCCATTCATCCAAAGCAGTCTCAGTCGGTGTTCAGCTCCACCTTCCACACTCTCTGCAGCACACCTTTGCCTCAGGACAGATAGAGGATAAACTCTCCTGTCTGAAGCACCTGGAGCTCCAGCTTCAGCCATCGGTTGAGTTTTCAGTCAATAAGGAGGGCTCCATCTGAAGCAGGTGAGGAAACTGATCACTCCTTTTCCTTCACAGCTGGAAACATTGCTAAACTCAGCTTGTCTGAGTGACAGATTATTTCTATCAGTAGTTAGAAATAACACATTGTGAGCCTCTCTTACAAAAAGGTTTTAGATTTTCTTTTGATGGGTAAAATATTTTCTCTTGTTTGAACCATTTTCCAGCATCTTTGTCGAACTGAAAGCCTGACCTTCCTGTTAGTAACGAGGAATATTACTGTCACAACGACAACTGACATCAAAATCCACTGATTTGCATTTATTTGTAATGTGTCTCAGTTTTTCTTGCTGAAGTGGCTCCAAAATATTATTGAATGATAAATATTGAATCCTTACTGTGTTTGACAGAGCAGGTTTTAGATGCCTTTATGTTTCAATTAAGTTTACTTTAGGCTAAAAGGAAATTTGGACAGAAATAAAGGAAAATAGGTATCTCTCTACTTCTATCTTTCTGCTAAAGTGTATGGTGCCCCAGAAGGGTCAACCAAACCCAGAAGTCACAGCAGAAGTTGAACTGAAACAGAAGCCAGTAAGACCTTTTAGAAAAAGACTCTAAATCAGAGGTTAATAGTTTATTATGGAGACACCTTAAAATATTTGATTTTATTTTTGGTTGTTGCAGCAAAATGTTTAACTCAATCCACAGTCACATTATTCATCAAATTAGTCATTTTAAGGTATGTCATATCTGTAGAATATTGCTCTGACTGCACCCTGCTCTGCTGCAAACTTCTCTGCTTTCTACTGCCTTGTTATTTATCAGTCTCTACAGGTAGTTAGAGTGGCATAGCCGTCTGATGCAGAGGCTCTGACTGTCTGAAAGGTCTAACTAGCTTCCAGTCTAGTTCAACTAAATGTTGTTTCTTTTTTGTTGACCCCCTTGGCCACCTTTAAAAGTAACTAAATGTTCTATGAAAAATATATTCAGAAAAGTAAAAAAAAAAATAACACTTTACTTTGTAAAGTAATGCATCGATATCCAGTATCTAAGACCAGTAAAGAAATGAGTCTAAACTCAACGAACAGACAAGTAGAGCATTTATTAGAGAAGCAGCCAAAGACTCTGGTTGAGCTGCAGGGATCCACAGCTCTGGTGGAGGAATCAGTTAACAGTTAGCAATGGTTAACACACCATTCCCTGAGAGAAACATGGTTGCGGTGCCATCATGCTTCCACATGAGCAGAGCAGTTTGATAAATCTGAGATAGGTGAGAGAGATGGAGCTGATTACAGAGCAACCCTGGAAGAAGACCTGATAGAGGCTCCAACAAAAAAAGGCTTTCAACAAAAAAAAAAATGGTTACATAAAACATTGATGGGAAAATGCGCTACCTCTGCACCACCACT